ATATATTTACATGTTTTCATATATTTAAGACATATATGTGTGTTTATATTGATTCAAAGAAGGGCAATAAACCTATTTAAAGAGATTTTACAAGCTTTAGAAATAAAATAAATCAGGGATTAAAGAAATCATTGCTCTTATGGAAATAAAAAAGTAGGTAAAATGTCCATTAATATTCTAGCTCTTAATAATACCTACTTCAGGAAAATTATTTTAATTATACTTAATTATATTTAATACCTACTTATGGAAAATTATTTTATATAATTTTGGTTATTATAATATTAAGTCATAACTAGAATATGTTTAAATCATCTGTTATGGGCTTAATTTATTTACTTATTGAATAACTGCTCATTAAATACTGACCATGGCCTAGGAATTTGAGTAAAATTATACATTACTAATTATTTTTTGTTTATTCTAATATAAAATTACTTTTCTTTTTGTATGTACATACTAAAAATCAAAACAAGCATATAAAAAGAGTTTTGTTTCAAGACTTTTTAAAAAGCTTCCTATTAATAAAAGTAAAAACCAAAATCTCACAGACTTTTTACTTAGTAGTTTTATTCTCTATAACATGCATATTAAGTCATTTATCCCATATCAGTATTAAAATCAAGAACAGTAAACATAGGTTCCTGACTTCTGGGTTCCAAGCAAATACAGGAAAACACCATGTTCACTGCACAGGGAACATTTACAACACTTTAGCACTGGAAAAGACCTTAGAGACCTCTATCTGATTCGTTTATAGATAAAGAGAAACAAGATTCAGTGATGTAAAGAGATTCAACCTAAGTCAAAAAACAAATAATGGGCAGACCCAAGGCTTGAACTTGAACTGATTCTAGCTGCACTGTGTGTCTCCACACTATTTTTATAAATCGGTTTGGAATTGATGCTGTACAGATATAAAGTTCTCAGTGGAAAACAAAATCTGCCTTCTTTTTACCGAATCTGTAGTTGATGATTTCAAATCCAAATCTCTGACCTTAGTTTTAATATCAATGAAGAAAGCCTGCAAAAGTATAACTAAGAGAATTATTAGGAGAAGATGAGATATTATACAATACTAAATTTAATAAATGTTATGAGGTAACTATACGAATGCTTTCTTAGACACTATGGGGCACTCTAAGAGAAAAAGAATATTATTTCCCTCAGCAAAATGCTTATTTGCACTGAGCCTTACACTAAGAGTTAGTACACATTACATGAAAGGCACAATTAGGATCATTATTTCACAAACATGTTTTGTTTCAAGTGTAAACCACATGACGTAGATTGATAGACTGCTGTCATCCTTGGGTAAAATCAAACGGCTGCAAGTTGCTGACAAAGAACAGATGAAAATTCTGCGTAGGCTACAACCCCACAGCCCTGACTTTCTCGTTCACAATCACAAGTTTTGGCTAATAGTCCCAACTGAGGTCAAAAACACAATGCTCATGGAGGGTCATTTTTTCCTTCAGAGCACATCACTCAAGTTTAATCATGCATTTAAGGTGAATATTTGATTAAGTAGTGTCTCTCTTTATCACACCATATTCTCCATGAAAGCAGAGGCCGTGTTAACCTTGCCCACCACTGCATCTTCAAATCCTAGCACAGGGCCTGGGATATACCAAGTGCAAATAGTTGCTGGGTGAATTTGTGAATTTCATAATATCATAGTTGCAGCTTACTCTCACACACAAGGAGGGAATACCAACTCTCAACTGAGGTTCTTCAAGACAACTAAGCCCTAAAGAAAATGGCATGGTGACCATCTTTTCAGTTCTTCCAAAGATGATACATGTAGTACCAGTACCACTACACATGCATAGGAAAGAAGTTCACTCATTTCATTAAATGGGCTGCCCAGGGATTTAGAGCTTATTTCTCTTACAGAATCCCAACTGAGGGCTGATGGCACATGAGTGGTCCTAGAAGACATTATTATCTCCAGGTTTTGATTGTGAGAAACATCCCAATTAGTAAGAAAATGAATATAATGCATAATTTCTGAGTACCATAAAAGGTAATGCCTCTGACTTCCAAGTTACTAACAAAATCAGTATTTCTGCAGGATATTCTTCAGTGAGAGCTCTATGTTTTCTCAGTGAATTCTAAACTAGATGACTTCTAAATTGACTGGTTAACATAAAAGCTAGAATAACCTTTAATAGTATAGTTTTCTTCTGCCCATTAAACAATTATTTCTTGGAAAATCCCTCATATGGAAATTTCTTTAACTTAATTCTATTGATTTCAATAGGAAACATTATTATGTATTCCCAAATCCCAAAATTTATATACATTTATGCTTAAACATCACATTGCTTTTAAATAGTGATGATTACATCAATAGTTAAATTAGTTACACAATTTTCCCCTTATTATTTAATGAGAGCTTACATGATCTTATTAAGCTGTTTTATAAATTAGCAATTAAAACAGAATATATACGTGATATTTAATATTTTTGTAGTTCACAGTTTAATACAAGACTAAAAGGAAGGCATAGGAAGGGAGGAAGAGAGGGAAAAAGGAAGAAGGAAGGAAAAGCAAAGCAAATGATGTCTCACATACCAAACAAGTTGGCCTCACACCATGTTGCACATGACTATCACTGCCACAAACTATCAGGCAATGTTCTAAGACAAGAATATAGCACAAGACTTGTACAACTAAAAAACTGCAAAGATGACTGTGCTGACTCTCTCTTGGAAGCTCTAGGGAAAATTCCAAATCAGTCCTTATAAAAAGAAAAAATGGAAACAAATTCTTTGTAAATAGAGAGGGTTGGA